CCCTCAATGACTTCTCTCCTCACCTCGCCGGTCCGCCTGACTTACACTTCCTGCCCATGAGTTCACCTGTCATTGTGCCATGATCAATAGCCCAAGCCTGTGGTGGATTGCCAGGTTTGGGTTCATTCAGTCTCTGGAGGTGAGCGTTTTTCCTCTTTGTGTTGTGGTGGGCAGATGACGAGTCAGCTGGAGCTCACCACAGGGATGTGGCTGCACATTTTTTCCACAGATCTGCACTCAACTGTACTCTCCCCCCGCATCACACATAAAACACTTTTACTGAAGTTGTATTTCTTAGAATTTGTCCTTGTTTTAATACCTCCACTCTGAGGTTTTGCACAAGGACGTTTGACCGAAACTTTATTCGCTGGGTTCACTGGGGACAGCGCAGCTTGCCTGTTTGAAGCCAACTTGTGTTTCTTGACTTGACAAGGATGTGTGGTGCAGGAAAATGAGGTGGAGCGGTGGGGTCACCAGCCACCAAATGTTGGCTTGGCCGACTCCATCAAGGAAATATCAAAAGGCCCTTTATGAGGTGCTGTAAAGAAGAAAGGGTGTTTTGAGAACACCAGCAGACTGCAGGGGTAATTCCACTTTTGAAAACGTGGCCCGGGGGTACTTCTTACCCCACCTGCTGCCTTTGCTGCTCAGCCTTTAAACCTTTTCTGGGAAGGAGTGGATTGTGTATATTGGCAATACTTGGTGTGCCATGTCACTTGGTGTAACTCTCCAGACATCCTGAGTTGTGTAATTAGCACCTCAAGCTGAAATTAGCAAATAGCAAAACGTTTTTCGTGTGTGTACACGATTGACGTATACTTATGTCCACATCTGTGTCTGTGTTGCACGAGTTTCTTCTGCTCATGCAGAAGTGTGTACATTTCTGGAGTTTCACTGCTCAAACGTTTCCCTTTGTATCCATGTGTCTAATTTTGTCCTATTTGTTGGGTCTATTTATTTCTCTTATAGATTTTTCACAGCTTTTCCAAGTACTCATTGTCTACTTGAAAGCTTAGCAGAGTAAATTTAGGAAGGTGCAGCAGTATGGAACAGAGAAAAGTGGCTACATAAGCAATGACGAAGATCCTCCGGAAAGGTTGGTATTGAAATGAGGAAGGAAGCACGAAGCGTGGGGGCCTTGTGGCAGAAGAATCAGGGTGATGGCAGGAAGTGGTGGGCAGAGAAACAGTAAGTAGAAGTGAAATGTACTGGCACCACTGACGAGGGTGTGGTACTTTCTTTTCCTCTTTCTTGAAGCCAGATTCTTCATGGAAACCTTTCAGTGCGCTTTTGGTCACCCTGTCAGTATCCAGCAGTGCTGTCAAATCCACCACAATGAAGGGGGCCAAGGGCATCGTCAGAGACCCCACAATTTGTGCCAGGGATTCTGGCAGCTGACTGGTCGCCATGCTTTCCCAATCTGTTGCCCGTCTGCTGCTGATGTCCGTCCAGTAACCAGCAACGTGACCCTTTCTCCCACCCTGTCTCAAAGTCTCACACAGTGTTTTTAATGAAGGTAGATGTGAAGGCAAGGGCTCTGATTTGATTTTAAAAATCTGAAAATGTTTCAGGAGAAGTGAGTTTCATTACTTTTTGATTGGTCATGTTAGACGAAATACAAAAAGCAATGGAAGGTGGATCAGAAAGCAAGTATTTCTGAAGAGAAATCACATGACCTTTCAGTGTTAACAGAGCTGCCATCATAGCTACTCCAGCAAGCTGTCAGGCTTTTCAAATCCTAAAGTTTCACTCTATATTTTCTATCAGAAGCTAAAGCAGGAGATAGATGTTTTTAATGAAAAACGTTGAGTGATCAGTTGTAATCAGAAATAATCATTAAAAAATGGGTTTTCAGTGAACCACACCTTCAAAGAAATACTCTGAAAAATGACCTGACATCAGTGGATCCCTCTCTTGTATGAGAACTGCATGTTCTCAAGCAGAAGCTACCTTAAATCCACTCTCGCTTGCCAGAACGAGACTGATTTGCTGTGCCGCTGAAGATTCCGCCACACCACTGAGTCACACTACAATATCTGTAGGATTATTGTGAAAGAACACTTGTTACACTGCCAAAGTCATATGCTGCTCAGTCAAAAGGGGTGTGTTGCAACGCAAAACCAAAGTTGCATAGTCATACCTTCAGTTATACATTAGAAACACTCCTCTTTCCATCTGGGGGAATAGCAGGCTGCAGATTTACCCAAAAGTCCAATGTTTTCACACATTATCTCTTTCTCTTCTACTCCATCCTCGGATCCCAAAGGGATGCTGACTGGCTCTGTAGACTTGATCTAGAATTTTATGCAATTGACCTAGTTGAAGTCACCTTGAGTTAAACAGCTATTTCTGTCATGTGCAGTTACGTTTTACTTCTAATGAGGTTGTGGAGAGTGATGTACTACACATCCCACTCAGGCTGAAGCGTTTAATGTTAGTGGGGCAGATGGCTTCGTGTGTGTGTGTGTGTGTGTGTGTGTGTGTGTGTGTGTGTGTGTGTGTGTGTGTGTGTGTGTGTGTGTGTGTGTGTGTGTGTGTGTGAGACCAGAAGGATTAGGTCTGGTCAGTGCAGCTGGGCCACTTGTGCACAGAGAGCCTTGCAACGAGGGATTACGGAGTGAACTGATACCTAGCAGGAAGCAAACAGTGACTACTGATAACCACACTCTCCCCTCTTCTTACCTTTTATGCTCCTCTCCTCCCCCAACAGCAGCAACCACCAACCTATTCCACTCATCTCATCTGTCCATCATCAGCTCTCTTGCCTCGGCCAATGGATTGTCATGCAAATACTACCTCAGGCCTCAGAGCGCTGATAAGGAGGGCCTCTCATTTTACAGGGCTTTGTTTTCTAAACAGTGATGAGCTGAGTTGAAGAGACGGGGAAAAGGGGCTCTGAGTGGTAACTTGAATGGGCCCTCTCACTGTGGCGCCCTGGGGTAAGTAATGCGGGAGATTTGGATGGAGTTGGTTGAATGAGGCTCAGTGTGGGAGGTGGGTTCAGGAGTCATGTTCTCTGGCAGGAACCAGGCGCGATGTGCTGACAGAGTCTGATCTATTATCTCTATCGCCCCTGTCTTGAGTTTTCTTTACGATGGACTTTCTCTGTCTTTGGCTTCTTTATTCATTTAGGCAGAGTCAGTCAATGTCCATTACTTGACGCCACATATGGTTTGCCCTTTTGTAAGGGGTTGTCAGCGCTTGGTCTGGAGCCTCATTTGCTGATGTTATTATTGCATAAACAGTGGTTCATGGCACGTTCAGAGGGTTTCTGCTCTCCCACTGACCCCGCTGCTTTGTTATATTCTGGCCAGGCAGACATGAGAACTGCTGTAGAAACATTCAGTGGGTGTAAACTTCAGGTTGTGGATTGATTTGCACATTTAGCTTTGGGATTGCTCTGAAAACTAATCGAAAACATATTTGCCTCCTGCAAAGTAAGGGTTTCAAAGCAGGAATCTGCATGGATTCTGAAGAGTACTGTGCATATGAAAAACAGATGTTTTCACAGCAGGCAATAAATAAAATAAATGTCTAAAAGTTTCTGTTATTATCATTAATGAGGTTGCACTAGACCAATCCCAACAGCTGTTTCAAAAGTAGAGCTGATGGTCAACTTGGTCTTGAACAAGACCTACCCCGAGGAACTCAGCCCAACCCCTTCTTGCCATAAAAAAGTAGAATTCCTCCTTTTACGCCTTTCCCCTCTGCTTTTTGAAGTCTCTCCTCTCTTGTAAAAAAGCCATGCTGGTGTTTTTTTTTTTTTTGCCTCAGTCTTGGGTTTAGAGACAAAGGAGGGGAACCGTAGGTTAAGTTTAGGCAAGCCCTCTGTGCTTGCCATTGAAGGTGCTAGCGGGGGGAGGTGGGCGCAGTAAAAGTTAGAATTTTAGAGCCTCCCTGTTTTTCATTTTATGATTGGCCTTTTTTTACGGGCTGAGAGCTACAGCTGGTGGTGTGAATAGCTGCCCAAGGTGACCGAGTCCCAATAAAGTGCTGGCCAGCCGGGCTGGGGCCTCCGGCCCAACCATGGGACTGCCTTTATAGGCCGCCTTACGAGTTTAGGCCTCTGTTAAAACCTGGCAGGGCTGCACTGAGGAATTTAGGGCCAGGAAACAAGAGAAAAAGAGGGTTTGTGTTAGAGGTTTGTAGGATGCAGAGTTGGGGGGTTGAAGTTAAAAACTGACCAAGGGTGAAAGTGTTTTTTGTGAGTGTGTGAACATGTGTGTGTGTGGTGTGGGGGGTATGTGAGCTAGTGAGTCTGTGCAGACTAACATGTGTGACTAAGTTCTGGTCTTATAGCTATATGTGCTGCGGCTTTTGTTTCTCATGGGAACGCTGGGATCCTTACACGAAGAAATGTGCAGCACATATACGTGGTCTGCTTTGTAATATAATAAGTGTAATGCACCATAGCGAGCATGCGGCACGAGGAGACACTGGAGTCACAGCTGGGCTGGTTTGAAAGTTAGAAGTGAAGCCTCACCAGCTTATCAAGACTGTGTGATTGTGACGTTTAAGGTGTCGACACGTTGTCGGTGTGGAATGAGGCACAGCCAGCTTTGACTGCTTCAGCAGCTGATACCTATCCTCATCCAAGCTCGTGTCCATCATCTTACTCACTGTAGCTTGATGTTTCAAAGTCGCTGAAATAAAATTCCATTTTATGCTGAAAAGACTTGTTTAAAAGACGATAATTAGTGCCTCTAAATTCTGTTTACGCTGCACCACATATTTCTTTCAGGTTGTAATCGGATCTATTTAAAAAAAAGTGGAAATTTATTCTGAATTATCTCTAAACCTGCGGTAACTGTTACTTGGTGTCCATCTAGAAAAGGAAATATCTGTCATCTGTCTCAGTGAGACACTCATCCATCCGTATATATCTGCTGTAGAAACTGACAAGTGCGCATGAGGCATTTGTAAGCTGAACAGTGGCTTTGAAAGCAATATCCAGTGACAAATTTCACACTCCTGCCATCTTTGTTCTTCTGCTTGCACAGCGGTGGAAACCCAGAGCACCAGCTCAGAGGAGATGGTACCCAGTTCTCCGTCTCCCCCTCCTCCGCCTCGAGTCTACAAGCCCTGCTTTGTGTGCCAGGACAAGTCCTCAGGGTATCACTACGGGGTCAGCTCTTGTGAGGGCTGCAAGGTGAGAAGAACCTGTCAGGGCATTTTTAGCTTCTGCTTGTTGATTACATGTTTTGCAGACAAAAGTAAGACTGCAACGTTCCCATCAAGCTGAGAAAAGGAAGGCAATCCGCACAAAGTTAAATGTCACATCCTCTGTTTGATAACTATTCCACCCAATTTCTTACTCTTGCACTTTCCTCTTTTGTCTTTTGTTTCCTGATGCTTCAGGGTTTCTTCCGCCGTAGTATCCAGAAGAACATGGTGTACACCTGTCACCGGGATAAGAACTGCCAGATTAACAAGGTCACACGCAACCGCTGCCAGTACTGCAGGCTGCAGAAGTGCTTCGAGGTCGGCATGTCCAAGGAAGGTGAGCCCCCCACAAACCGAGGAGATTATGACAGACCAAGATCTCAAACAGATAATTGCGACAGTTCCTTGCCCTTTACAGAGCCCGTGGGACATGTATGTGGGTGTAATGTTTGTGTGGGATGTGTGTTAGGACCGGGATCACATTGTGCCTCTGCTATTACTGGATATCCTGAGAGGAAGGAAAGTATGGGAGGCGGATGGGGGAGAGGAGGCAGTGTGGGAGAGAGTGGACTGGCCTGTGTGGATCAGTGGATTGATAGATTGACATGAAAGCAAGTGGATGATAGAGAGAGATTTACATAGCCTTTAAGAGCAGCTTCTGATACGACTGAGTTATTGTTTCCACTATGATCATCACTGAATTTTCAGTTACTGATCTATTAAAGTGCGAAATAAAAAGGATCCTGTATTGAATTCTTTCTCACATTTGCTGTTTTTCTATGTTATGTCATGTAGCGGTGCGTAATGACAGAAACAAGAAGAAGAAGGATGTGAAGGAGGAGGTGGTGCTTCCTGAGAGCTATGAGCTCAGTGGAGAGCTGGAAGAGTTGGTCAATAAAGTCAGCAAAGCTCACCAAGAGACCTTTCCGTCCCTTTGCCAGCTGGGAAAATACACCACAGTAAGTCCAGCTCAGGAACCTGTAGGTCTGATCTTGTTTTGTGCAGTACCGACAGAGGTCTCTCCAAATTCCTGCCAACCATAAATTCCCATTCAGTTTCTCCACATAGTGGTGCCCTAAATAGGCCAGTTGTCAATTAAGCCTTCTGTGTGGCCTCTGCATGATTGATGCAACATGTAAATAATAGATTTTTATTTATTTTATTGATGAAAAATGTAAATGTGTTGAGAGACTGTCACATTAGGCCTTGATGCAAACAGGGTTGCACACTTCCTGCGGTACTGTATGCTAAACTGTGAGGGCGGGGCTTGTGTGTGTTCAGAACTCCAGCTCAGACCACCGTGTTCAGCTGGACCTAGGACTCTGGGATAAGTTTAGCGAACTTTCCACCAAATGCATCATCAAGATTGTGGAATTTGCCAAGCGGCTGCCAGGTTTCACCAGCCTCACCATTGCTGACCAAATCACTTTACTGAAGTCAGCGTGCCTGGACATACTGGTGAGGAGCTTTTAAAAATGACCACATCTCCTTGATTTAGTTTGTTGGCATCTGGTGTCTAACGGTGGTAGTGCAAGTTTGCTTAGTTGTTGCTGACTTGAAGCTCTTTGCTTAAGAATAATCATTCAGATTATGATTCAACATTTGTTTAAACTTTATTTCTTATTTTTGATCTTGTAGATGTTGAGAATCTGCACACGCTACACCCCAGAGCAGGACACTATGACCTTCTCCGATGGCCTGACATTGAACCGAACTCAGATGCACAACGCTGGTTTTGGGCCGCTAACAGATCTGGTCTTTGCCTTTGCTGGTCAGCTTCTACCCCTGGAGATGGATGACACAGAAACCGGTCTCCTCAGTGCCATCTGCCTTATATGTGGAGGTACTGCAGCACTCACACCCCCATTGTTTCATTCAATGTTGAACAGGCCCTGTGGCATATTTTTTTCCTGCAAATGTGCCACAGCTTTCATTCGATAAGGGATCTCTGAAATGTTAAATACAGTTTTTGCATTTTCTGTATCACACACCAGACCGCATGGATCTGGAGGAGCCCGAGAAAGTGGATAAGCTGCAGGAGCCGCTACTTGAAGCTCTTAAAATCTATGCCCGTCGTAGACGTCCAAACAAACCTCACATGTTCCCCCGCATGCTGATGAAGATCACTGACCTCAGAGGGATCAGCACAAAGGGTCAGTGTTTGGAAAAATGTTTAAAACGACTTTGGATGTGTCTGTACTTTTTCCAACCGGAACATAACTCCAGTAGCAGTTTTTCCTTCAAACAAGCTACAGAAATGAGTTTGAGTAAAGGTATTTGTCTGACAACATGTTAAAAGGAAACTGATGTAGCCTCCATTTTTATAGGAAGAGGTAAAGGAGGTAGATTTCAGTTAGTTGCATTCTAAACTTTACTCACGAGATATCACAAAAACCACGTGTTGACACTGAACTTGTATTCCCTGTTGTAATGCATGTATTAAAAACTTAGTATTTGTTACTCACCATAAATTGTTTTTCCTGAACTTTTTCTGCGTCTTCACAAATGTTTTGTGCTTCAGTTGTGCATGATATTTTAAAGTGCAATACAGGTCTTCGTACTTTCTTCTGTGAAACCAGATGAAATTTATTTTCTATGTGTACATTTTTACACACTTTATTTTCAGGTGCAGAAAGAGCCATCACTCTAAAGATGGAGATCCCAGGCCCGATGCCTCCTTTGATCAGGGAGATGCTGGAGAACCCAGAGGCCTTTGAGGACCAAACGGATAGTAACGAGAGTGCGCTGCCCCCGCCTCCGCCGCCACCGCCTCCGCCAGCTGTTGTTGTGAAGCAGGAGGCCGAGGACGAGGACGACAGCTGGGCCACAGAAAATGGGAGTGAGCCATCCCCAGAAGAGGAGGACGAAGATGACGACGACGAGCTGGGCGATGAAGAACGCGACAGGGCCTCGGACAGTGATGGGGAGCCCTGGGGGGTGTTGGATAACTTAGACGGGTCGAGGAAAGGCTTTGCTGGGAGGACACAGTGAACAGAACATTTCATGCACAGTCGTACAAGCATACACACACACATAGACAAACAGCACAACCTCACACACTTCCACATCAAAAAATGCTGGCCTTTCCTCTCTCCCCCTCCCGCTCTTCTAGCTGCACATCACTGTGTCCCCTTCAGCGGAGCACAGCAGAGCCTTAAGTGTACAGACACCTTCTAACTCAGGCCTCATGGTCCATTACTTGTAAACTCCAGAAAGAAAAAGTCAAAAAGAGGTTGCAGGAAACCATATGAACTCCTGGCAAAGCCACGAGGGAAGTAAAAGAAACAAAAACAGAACAGAAACTGTTTGAAAAAGCTAAACAGTTCTTTGCTTTTCCCACTATTGTTGTTGTTGATATATGAATAGTGGAACGGCCAAACCCGACTCCAGAACTGAGCAGTCGTTTGTGGTTGATTGCAGCAAGCACATTACAACAAAAGAACAGGGCAAAACCAAATAGTGTATGCTAACCTTTTGTTTGAATGCTTTTGAATATTGATTTTAGCTTCTTTTTGTTCATTTTTGAGTTACTGAATAAGTTCATACGTATCTAAATAATGTAATGTTTTGTCTTTGATGTGTTTATTCTGATTTTATACATGATTTAAGGGTCTTCTTTATCAGCTACGGACGCTTAGCTCGGGCGTCTGTCGGCCCTTCTGCTCATTGTGGATCTCTTCGATATTCAACCCAGAGAACTATTACTGTTTTATGGTGACTTAATCAGTTTCTGTTATCAGGGAATTGGCATTGTTTCGATTTTGCTGCCGTTGTAGCCAACATGTGCTGTCAGTGCAGGATGTATCTACGTGCCAAAGTTAGGGAAAGGCATCAATGGAGTACGAGTTTGACTCCTGGCAGGGACTCCAACTACAATCAGGCAATACTCACACCACAGTGCTCCCACACATACGCACTAAGAACACACACTCAGTCTCACAGTGTCAGGATCACACTTACACACACGCTTAACAGCTTCATTGTCAGAGTTGGCAGATGTATCCTCCTGGCCCAGAATGCCAGGATGGAAATTTAGTCCTGACCATAACTGCAGCGCTTTTTATGATCTCATTCAAATTTGGCCCGTTTCATAGGTAGACGGGATGGATCAGATCTTTTAAACTGGGTAGGTTTGTGATCAGTTAATATCTTACCTGTTGAAGATAGCTTTTTGAACAACATCATTTTGTAAAAACAGATGAGTTCTGATTTAATTGATGTGCTAACGGCTAGTCAATCAGTCACAGATTTCCGCTGTTTAAGCAAAAACTGTTCCACAACATTAACATGCTGTAAATTTTACATAAATGGCTATTTCTATAGAATTTTATGGTTCATTTATCATGAAAACAGAAAACGTTTCAGGATATTTTTTAAAGTGTACAGGGTTACAAAATACAACTTGTATTAAAAAAAAGAGACATTTTTGAATCAGTGATTTCAGGATTTCTGACACCAGCCCAGATGTTACCAGCCATTGGCTCCTCAGTCTGATCAGATCTAATCTCTGTTTCTTCAAACTGAGGTTGTTAAAGGTGTGGAACGCTGAAGAAACATCTTTAAATCCTTATTTCTGATAATAATCGGTCACTCTTAGTTTTTTACACAAGCTGAACAGGAAAATAGTCTCCTACACCTATCTCCTGCATTAGCTTCTGATGATGCTAGGACTTGAAAAGCCTGACAGTGCTACGTCACACTGTCACTTAACATTCATGGACTCACCTACCTTGACTTGCAAAGGGGAAGGCAGAGAATGTCTTGGTCAGTAGAAGCTAACTGTTAGCATTAGCAACTTCACCACAAAGCAGAACTCCTTCAAACATGTTAATTGTGGCAATAAAACATCAACATTGCAAGTCAGTCATGTTGCTGCTATATAATCTGGGGTGAGATATCCATATATCAGAAAATAAGACCACCCCATGGCTTACAGGGCATGCATTCCTACTATAGACCACTGCAAATGCATTGATTAACTGAGTGTTCCACACCTTTAAAGAACAAATGACAGACCAAAATGTACATTTTTTCCACACACTCATTTTGAAGGACCTGAATAGTTCCTTTAATAAATCAAGCTTCCCTCTCAGAGCTCATATTCCCTTTAGCGTGAGTTAATGAGAACATCATAACAACACACTCCAACGTAAAGCACTCCTCTGTGACGTCCCTAGATGAATGCACCATAGACAAAAACACCCACACGTGATAGCATCAACACAATGAATAAAGGCATATGCAAGCCGTAACAGGAATCTTTTTCTATGAAAGACATTTTGAATCTGACTCAGGGCTTTTCAGTGAGGACCAAACACTAGCTGCATTTTAGGCATGCTAGCAACAGGCAATATTTATGTGTATTCTTATCTATGTAGATTCTCAAGTCCCTCTGTGTGTACCTAGAAGGCGACAAGTCTGAAACCCAGCATGGATGTCCTCTGACTCTGGAGAGGGGGATGGAGCGTTGTCACCTTCATCATCACCTCTGATCACCATGCTGACCAACCATGCATCAAATGACGTCCTCTTCCCTAAAGCCATTTTCTCATCTTGTCTTCTTTTGTATATTCTTGGTTCTTTTTGAGGAAGCAGAGGAATGTTATATGTGTTCTCGTTTATCACTTCTTTATTGCCAAAATGTCACAGTGGGCGATCAGCTGGGAAAACATGGCTGATGCGCAGTACAGAGGTTTAATTTTTTTCTCTGTTTGAAGCAATACTCTTTGTAGCAGTGAGGCTTGTCTTCTGAGCGTGGGCATGTCTTGGTGTGTGTGTGCGCACGCGTGTGTGTGAGTGAACGGTTTTCAATCATAGGGTGGATGTCCTCAGCTTGGTGCTTTCACACAGAGGCTTGTGTGTGATGACCTCATCTTTTTTGTGATGGAAATGCTGGCAGAATATTGAGATTATGTTGTTTTATGTATTTTCTTTCATTATTATTTTTTCAACAAGGCTAATGTGTTGCCGACCCTCTGTTTATGTCAACTCTTGTCATAAAAAGAAAAGCCATATAAACAGTAAGAGGCACAATAAACTACTTTTGTGAGAGTACTGAACTTTTTATTCCTACTGCATCTCGTAGAAAGTGCTTTCCATCACCATTCTGCAGTGTTCTACTAGTTATTACACAAGCAAAACAGCAGAGGGAGCTCTTGCCCTTTAACTTTGCTTTACTGCATGCAGCAGTGTTCACTGCATAGAGGGGGAGTAGATCAGGGAGAGCCACGGCTAATAAATTACAGACTCTTGCTGAACAAGGGCATCAGATTTGTTCTGCTCCTCCTTGAAGTAATGCAGTTTTCCTTTACTTTTGTACCACGTGAGGTTAAAAATAAGAAAAAAAAGTTAATTTGTTTAGCTGCACCGGAGAATTGACTGGTAATTGGAATCGGCCAATATTCTGCTTGATCAGCCCATCAGAATCTCAAAAGGCCTTCCTTAATGCATCAATGCCTGGCAGCAGTTAAAATATACATTTATGGACAAACCACTGGAGCTAAATCACATCAGGCATAAACAGATTTTTTGACCTCAATGATTATTATTCTAATTTGAAAATGATGAATACTTATTCTGGTAATTCTTTCAAATTAGCCAGAGTAGGTCAAGAAATTGGATTCAGCTTTAAAACAAAACCAACACAACCTTATTATTAAAGGGATACTTTGCAACTTTTTCATATTGAGCCAGTAGGTAAAAATGACCCTTCATTAAAGGCCACCCAGCCCCTGTCACCCCCACGGCCAGAATATTCCACTTGCAACTTCAGTCTGGCGGGCCGCTCTGTGGGGACTTGGAAAAATGAGCTGACATACCTGGCACTGCAGTCTGCTTCCAGAACACTCCCTTTATGTTTTAGATCATGAACACAGCTGATATGTTTAATTTTGTGATGAATCACTCCTGTAGACACTAATGAGGGCTGGGAGACGTTTCAGCTGTTAGATTATAGACAATCACACAGTGAGGAGATAAGTTTTGCGTTCAGTTATACAGACACTAGGGGGTGCTAAAAGCAAGCCTTTCAGATTTGACACAGAATGAGACAATTCAACAGAATAAAAAATAAAGCAAATAATTTAGATGTAAATATCTATACTTTTGTCTATACTTGATAAAGTACATTGATATTAAGACACATTTTTCTATTTACAGTAAAATGTATTGAAATGTGTAAGTGATGCACCTGGATTGTTTAACATTAGGTCAGCTATCTGACAGAGAAAGCATACGTGATGCTTTTGGTTTGTTAATATTTGAGCTTGTTGAAGAGGCTCTTTTGAATCCAAAACTTGTCGTGAGCTGAAGCAGAGAAATAGGAGCTCCTGTTTAGTATTTAGCATCAAAATACTCAACATAACACTCCACTGCAATCAAGTAGATGAAAGAAATCCTGAGATGTCCTTTAACATTTTTCACACTGGCCTTGTAAACCTCCTCCCTCCTTGCTTTTACCCACAATCGCTGACATTACCGCCTTATCTTCACCTGACAGGAATCCTCCTCACAGAGCTCCACCGATTGTAAACATTCCTTCTTTTCAGGATGCAAGTGTGGGAGACTAACTCTTCTCTTTGATGTTATTAATAGAGAGCCACAGACAATCAGAGGAGGGCGATAAACAGAGATGAGATTCTATCAATTATATGATTGCTTTAATTAACTCTCATTAAAGACAAATCAATAACGCCAGACTGGAATTAAAATGAGGCCCATACATTATACACTATTTTACAAGGAACAATCAAATTGCCTCATATACTGTGAACCCTTCAAGGTGTTGCCATGGTAACAAACGGAAAGATGAAGAGGGGGAAATTTAAAGGAGCCAGGTTAGATTTCTATACGCTGCCACACCACTGACAACCGATAAGATATAGAAATGTAAATTTTTATACTTGTAACAAATTAAAAGTGAAATGTCTCTTTAATATCATCGCTATCAATTATTAATTTAAACAGTAAAAAAAAAGATCCATAAAAGGAGGTAATGAGTGCAGCACAGCAGAGAAACTCATTAGAATATTTTAAACTAGATGAACAAAATCCAGCAGAGAGACTGGTCCAGCTGAGGCTGCAGCCCCTCAGAGAGAGAGAGCCCCAAGTCTGGACTCGGGGTGTGATGATGACAGAGACTAGAGTTGTTTGCGACCTGGGTTTTGATGTGTTTAAAAAAAGGAGAGATGAATGATGCGAGGCCTGGAGTTGCAGGGTCATAACTGAAATAGCTCATTTCACCGTGGGACTCCTGCTTGGGTCAACACAGACAAAAAAGGACCTCTTCCACGTTTGCAGTGAATCCGCAGAGAGCTAGAAATGAGTCGAGACAAAAGAAGAGGTGAAAGGAAGGTGAAAATGTGTTTCAAGTGTAAAGACCATAAATTTAACGCCTTCCCCCATGTGAGCAGCAAGTTAGACCGGCGATCTCAGAGAAAAAGGTAAATTAGTGACAGGAAGCGTGGCAGACAGGAAGAAGGAAATAAACGAGACCAGGTAAAGAAGGGAGGCGGTTTGAGGAAGATCTGGACAGGAAGGTGTTGGTGGAAGTGATAAAAACTGGGAGATGTGTTCTGGCCTCTGGGTCTTCATATCTTTTACATTTCTAATTAAAAGAGATAAAGAGTGAGGGAGTCATCAATCCCACAGTGATTTCCCAGTTAAGGTTTTAGAGGGGGCTGTAAACTAGGCAGCCCGGCATCATTGATTTTATAATTAGCTATCGTCACCCCAGACTTAAGATGGGGAGGCTGGGGGGGGGGGGGGGGGGGGGGGGGGGGGGGGGGGGGGTAACAAGGCAGAGCAGAATGGTAGGAAGGCACAAGGAGGAAGATGATGATGAGGCCAGCACAGAAGGAAGCCAAGGATGAGAGAATTCAGTATGAGACGCAGAAATGAACGAGCCAAAAAAGATGTGGGGATTTCCAGCTGACGATCAAAAGACTGTAATAATATTTGGCCGGAAAAAGCACATTAGCCCAAGTGATGAATACATTTTATTATGCTTAGCCCAAACCTGTTACATGACTGAAAAGAAAATAACACACAGGGTGGCATTCACACACACAACATTATAATAAATCATAAGGCAGGAAGCACTCTCAGTGGACAAAACTACAACTTCCTTCAGACATAAAGCAGGAAAACAAACACAAAGTGTGGGCTGTCATCTGATAAAGACCTAAAATCTTTAGTCTTCTATATAGTCAGACATGAAGGATAAACACCAATAAAAACAAAAACGTGGACAGATTTGAACTTTTCTGACTTCAGTCATCCCCATCTCATTCCAATCTTTTGCACATTTTTACACCAAACTTCACCAGCTGGTCTAACATCAAATCTGAGTAGTTTTCATGGGAGCATTCGGAATCAGAAATTAAACTGAAAACCCAGATGAAGGATGAGTAGCTAAAGCACACACGCCTTACACACAAAACATTATCTAAATACTCTTCTGTAGTAAAAACAGGTGCAAAAATCAGCAGATAAAATCAAACATCAGGATATTTATCATAAAATCATCTCAGCAGAGCACGGGGAGTTTAGTAAGCTACACATAAACTGAATCTAAACCCGAACATAGTCCACTTGCAGCATAACTCACGTTAATTATAAATAGAAAACCATGAAAAATGCATATAGTATTGATTTAAAAGTAGGCAGCAGTTTTTATTAGGCAGTATAGTGCCAGGGGGTGGGTGGGGGGAGCACATGCACTGCGTCAGGACATCTAAAGATGATTTTCTTATAACATCAGGCACAAATTTCAAATTGCATGACTGAATTTTGACTTTAGATCAACTATAATAGAGGCAGAAGCTACCTTTTGGAATTAAATTCATAAAAAGCAAAGTCTTGGTTCATTAACAGATAAAAACGGCAGCTGATTAAGAGAGCCTAAAAGCATCGATTTAAAAAGATATGCGGCATTTACCTCAACAGACATTAATAAGTTCACTTATTCAAAGTTTTAAGCAAATCTCTGCTTCACTAAATCACTCAACTGCACCTGCACCACAAACAGCTGTTAGTGTTCACAAGAAAGTGCGTTTGAATCTAAAGTTTTAAAGAAACGAGGGAGAAATGTGATGTCAGAGCTACAATACGGCAATATTTTATTCTTTTGCATCAATAGTTGATGCTGCCATGAAGTTTCCCCAAAAAAATGTAATGCTTGATCAGATTTTGCTGTGATTTCCTAAGAAGACGAGTTTGCACAAAACATCATAATTACAGCGCCTGCCGCGGCTCCTAATCACAATCCCATAAAAACGACATTACATCCGTCGTAAAGCTCTCGACACAGCAATGATTCAACTAAATCCTTTCTTTCCACGGCTCTGAAACATCAGAGTGGAGACAAAAAACGTCTAGAGAGGGAAAAAATGAGGCTGGCTTCAGATATAAAGTTATTGCATATTAACATTGTGTTTGTGTGCTTGGAGGTTCCACAACAAACTTCAAAGTCCTCTTGTTGTCGTAGCTGGATGTCCTCTCGTCACCATAGGGAAGTGTCAGCCAGATCACTGGAGGAAGGCACAAAGCAGAAAGTGTGTGTTAAAATTCAAAAGAACACACACACACACACACACACACACACACACACACACACACACACACACACACACACACACACACACACACACACACACACACACACACACACACACACACACACACACACACACACACTGGTTGAATAAGGAGGCTAAGACTGCAGGAGCAGCTGAGTGGGAGAATGAGAGCCTTAACGATGCTGAAAATTGGCCCGTGACTATGGCACACCCCTCAGGTAAATCATTGCTACAGCTTGCTGTCAAATTGTCTGTCCCCTCGTCCTCCCATCTTACCCCTCCAACTCTGTCTCCAACAGTCTCCCCCGCTTCACCCTGACTCAACTTCTTTTATGAGCACATATTCAAAACTTCCATCTTCCAGCCACAGCGAGCCTGTCACAGTAAATAACGGCCCGCGTTTTGCCCGTGAGCATTTGCAGGCTCTGAATTCAGTGAGAAGCTTCCTCTGTGAGGCCAGAGAGGCAAAGTAACAAACTGTGCTTCAGTTCGTATAATTAATACGTTCTTCCACTTTGGGAATCATTTAGAGTGTCACTTTTAAAATCCCGGGAGAAAACATATTTCTTACTCCACCGCGTTTTGACGTGAGCTGGTTTGCAGGAGTTTATTATCCACACAAATCAACTCACGAGCTCTTAAAGTACAGCAGAAGTTTAAAACCAGTCATCATGACGGAAAGATCCCTACAACTTTTGGATTAAAACCAACTGGCAACACTTTACAATAAGGTTCCCTTTATTAACATTACTTAGTGCATTATTAAACATTAATAAACAAAGGGTCTCTTTAGTAACACGTTACTGTTTACTATCAAGTGTGCTTAAGGTTAGGATACATGGCAAGGCAGAATGTCTGCTTGGTAATGCATTACTTAACATTATTATTAAGCAGTTGATAATACTTTATGAAATAGTTTATTAATGCTTAATAATGCACTAAGTAGCGTTAATAATGGGACCCTTTTTGTGAAGTGTTACCAAACTAATTTTCTTATCTGTTTTTCATCATTAGATATTTTCCTGCACCAAAACATCAGACTGTTGAGTGTTAGAAAGTCCTCATTTCTGCCTAAGATGCTATAAAACTAGTAATTAATTTGCTAAACCATCTGTGACATTTATTATTTTGAGGTCACAAAACTAAAGTAGCAATGGCAAATCTGCAAAACAATCTAGCTTTTAAAGGGCAAGTCACCAGGGTCTAACTCCACTCCCATTTCCTGTTTGAAAAATACGCCACAAGGAGGCATTGACTGGCAGACCGAGAGGCCGGAGCCTCTAACAAAACAAGCACACACACAGGCTCACAGCGGCATTGTGACATCATATGGTATCAGCTAATGCCATAGTGTACATCCACTAGCGATGTCAGAGTTAAATTAAAATGTAGTGCATAGTTTTTACCTGAATACTAACAGTTTTAGGCAAAATATTAAAAGTTTAACTAGGATGCACTAAAGTACTAAATTATTGGCTACACGTGTCTACAGCACGATCAGACACTCGTTTATGTAGTTTATCAGCAAAAAATGTTTATTTGGGGTGACTTGATCTTTAAACACAAACACCTCACACCTCCTGTTGGCTAAGCCACGCCTCCATGATGTAGGAAAGCACAGCAACAGTAAACGAGAGAGAGCCAAACAGCAGTTGCAATTTTCTAGGTCCAAACGTCTTTTGCTTTCCACAACTCCAAATGTTGCTTTTCCTTTTGGGACTCGGTGAGACAGACAACCGGATGGTCCAATCGCTGGTTCCAAACCAAGCCGTGTTATTGGCTGATATCTTTAGACAAATGTGAGAGAACCGCTTCACAATTTTTTTTTTAAACTTCACTGTACTGTATATGTTTACTACGTTAGAACTAGAGGTCGACAGATATTGGTTTTTCTATTGCGGACGCAGATATGTAGGAGGCATGGTAAGCGGATGCACTGCAGGTTTTCAAGGGCCGATTTTCACAGCCATTACCAAGACATTTTCCACCTTATCTTCATGCTAAAATGTCACTAATAACATCAGTTGATGCACAAAATATCTGAAGCTGAATGAGATTTGGAACTCTGAATTTAACCAACTGTTCAATCTTAACTTTGTGCACTGCTCACTGTTACAGACAGCTAAATAAAATAATTTTGAGTATTTATTATGCAGATGTTATCAGTGAACATAAAAAAAAACATTTAAACAAAAATCTGCAACAGCACCGGGCAGGAGGCTCCTGACTTTAAATCGGCTTCACTGATATCGACCGATACAATATATAAAAAAACAGTAAATATCAGCCCGATACATCGGTCTACCCCTAGTTAGAACGTTGTTAAAAAAACGTTTTGAGCTATCTTGTTTTGCAGATTTGCCATTGTAGCTTTAAATACATTAAAAAATCAGTAAAAACACAAATACAGCAGTGAAAATATGCTCGTAAATATGAGTTTATGCATTCAGGATCCCAGGGGTCAACAGAGAAATAAACCCTGCAATCGCCAACTTAGCTCGTTATTATCAGACTGATGCATCAACGTGTCGATTTTTATTGTTGAGAATAACGAGGGCAGTTTAGCCTAATTTGGAACACATAATATAAACGTAAACATCAGTAAAATGTTCCAACTGTAACTGGAGCGGTTCTTAAATTTCATGTGGGAGTTTGTACCTGAGAACATTATCCTTGTAGTCAGCCAGCAGAAGGGCCGTTTCCTCTCCAGAGCTTTTCCTTCCACACGGAATTGGATCAGATTCCTCCTCCTACACACACACACACACACACACACACACACACACACACACACACACACACACACACACACACACACACACACACACACACACACACGCTTAACTCATATCTCTCCAGCGGCTATTACAGACTAATAACTTGCCAACTAGCAACCTAATTGCCTCCATGAGATAATGTCCGTATCAAACGACCCGTTGCCCGTGTTTAACTGGTGTGCTTTGCTATTAGCATGAAGCCGTAGCTCATTTTCAGTATCACATATAATTAAACTATGGCCACGATGAATGGATCTGATAGGGCGTCTCACCGAATCCGAGCTGTGTGCCTGAGAGTCGGCGGTCTGGTGTGGCAGGGAGAGCGGGGCCGGCTGGTTGATGACGACCGCGCTCCTGTTCACGTCCCTGGGGGAGGAAGGGGGGGTTGACAACAACATGGAGTCGTGCTGACCCTGCTCACATAAGCTGTAGTGTCCCAGAGTTCTGGGGGAATGGAGGAGCTGCAAAGCCTCGGGACTCTCATCCTCAGAGTCAGATAAGGCAGCGTCAGGACATCCTGCCATAAAGATTGGTCAGAGAAAGACAAAGAAAAAGAAGGGAAGGGGGAGTCACTCTTCCTCTTGTTTCCACACACAACACGAGCCCCTCTGAGCAGTATTTAGTGCTGCTCCTGAGTGATAACACTTTTACTGTTCACATCTGCAGGGCGTACAACAGATTGATGTGCTGCTCAACTCACCTGTGGAGGCGACGGGAGCCGCGTCCCACCCGGCGCTGGTCACTGTTCCCACCTTCTGCTCCAGCTGACAGATGTACTCCATCAACTCCTGCAAGACAGATTACAAGGATCACATCACAAACCGGGGCAGGACTCCGATAACGGCTTCAGCAGCCATCACCCTTACAACCCTTATGACACCTGACAGCTTCAAACCAAAGTCACATAAAACTGCTACTCCATCAACACAAAAATACAACTTTTATTATTAGATAAATACTGCTGTCACTCTACACTACGTACCTGAATCCTTATTTATTTATTTGATGTGCTATAGTGATGTGTGCTTGCTGCTGAAATGCAGCAGGACTCTTGAGTTTACAAAACAGATTTCCTTATTTTTTTGGCAGACGTGAAACTAGTTAGAAGCAAACTCTGCAGGCACATTAACAGCCCCAGAGCCAGCTGCCCTGAAAAACCCACCATTTTATATTGCACTATAAACAATTTATACAGCACAATAACAAGAGTGTAACAACAGAGAGAGGATCCACAACACCTGGTATTTTCACCGTACTTGTAAACCTGCAGGTTGGCATTAGGATTTCTCTAAAACCAAGATTTAAAAAATAAAAATGAAGTTAACAGCAAACATCATTCTACTGTCGAAATTTAAGGTTGAGCTGTGACACCAAATGTACCAAACTGTAAATAAATATACTTCATAGAACAAATGTCTGCAGGCATGCATGTCTGCAATAATATGCAAACATGGGTGATCAACCATAGCATCACACTTCAATGCTTCTCCACACAAGATGATCTCAGTTTAAAAACTCGGGCATGAAAGTCGATGTGCATTCGTTCAGTAAGTGCCAGCCCTTTATTTATAACGTGCAAACTCTTCTGCACCCAGAGTCTTTGTGAGAACTTGGGACATAAACCTGATTTTGACCTGTTTCTCTGCCTGCAGCTGCTCCTTCTCCTTCTGTGCGACCCTCAGGCAGGACTTCAGCTCCTGGAGCTCCCTCCGGGTTTCACTCAGTTGAACCTGCAGCCCAGAAATCATAAACATCTTAAAGTGACAAATGAGGTGTGAACACGTCCCATCATTCCCACTAGAGCTTGTGACATCATGTCCTTCTTGTTGCTATCAAGTCTGTGTTTATTTATTTTGTGCACGTTTTCTCACTCGATTGCAATCTTTTTCTCTTCCAAGCTCAACCTCCAGCTTCACTCGCTCCATCCTTTCCTCCTGCAGCCTCTCCTCCACCCTCTGCATCTCTGTGTTAAGCTTCTCTAAGCGATCATGGTCCCTCTGTCCGTGCAACACACACAGAAACACACACTATGAAACACTTTCTCTGCCACATGTCCACTTATTACCTGAGGCAAGGAAGTAGCTTAACCGTGTGTCATATCTCAACTTGACTCATGTCCCTAATTTCTGCAGGTTTAATATTCCGTACCTCTGCAGTGCGCTGCAGACTTTCTCTCTCCTGCTCCCAGTGGGTGCTTTCTTTTCTTAGGTTCATACTGACATCTGCGAGTTGAAGAGTGAGCTGGGCAGCCTGCAGACGAGCCTGGTGCAGCTCGGCATGCCCGTGGTCCCTCTGCGACACCATGGTGCTCAGATCTCTCTTTAAGCCCACCGCGGTGCGCTCACTCATGTGAAGATGCTCCCGAAGGCTCCGCATCTCTTTCAGCGACGCTTCGTTCTCCGCCTGTCGACAAAGCACGAGTGTGTTACATGATTCATTTTACACATTCACTTGAAGCCCCAACCGTACAAGCGTGTTTGGAATATGTCTGACCTCCTTCCTGTGAGCGGTGGTGAGTTTCTGTGTGAGGGTGGTGATGGAGTTTTGGAGCTGCAGGACGCTGGTGTCTCTCTGTGCCAGGGAGTTCCTGAGACTCTGGAACTCCTTAGAGAGACTTTTGAGCTCCACCTCTGTCTGCTCCAGCTTGGACTTTGAGATGGACAAAGAAGAAAAATTAAACACGGGCAGAGAGGAGTCCAGCAGACGTGGCTGTTCAGAAAATACCTGCAGGCTCTTCCTTTCATTCTCCTCTTCTTTCCTCAAGGCCACAGCTCTTTTGGCTCTTTCCTTCATCCTGCACAAAATTACTTGTCAAAAACAACCAAACTACTTAGATTAATCTAGAGAAGAAACCAACCAACCTCTCCAGCTCTGTTTCTTTCTCCACAGTCCTCTGAGTCAGGGTTTTGATGTCCTCCTCCAGCTCTCTTATTCGCACTTCATTTTCCTTCTTGGCACTCATTAAAGCCGCTTTCTCCTGGGCTAGAGACTCTCCCAAAGCCTGCCCGTCCTAACACACCAGAGACATTTTATTATGAATATAAGTAACATATCCTAGTAGAGGAACGCTTTTCACTGCAAAAGTGAAGGGAAAAGTCTTAAGCCACCTCCTGCTTCCTTTCCAGCTCCTCCATCTTTTCTCGACTCCACATCAATTCCTCCTTCAGCCGGGCGAGATCACATTCCAACCCTCTTCGCTGTCTGTCCCAAGCCTCCTTGGCCCTCTTAAAGTCATCCCTCTCAATCTCCTTTTGCTTTTTTAACACCTCCTGCTCGTGCAACAGCTCAGCACGCACTTGCAGGCACTCCTGCAGTCGACTCTGTCCAGAAACAGGGAAAACATTCTTGTACTAAATTGGCTGCGTGAGATACCAGAGCCAACTCAACAGGACGAGTGTCTTCTCAACACTCATTACTTATGCAAAGCTGAAGACATACTGATCCATTTTCACATCAAGCTTATTTATTGTTAATGCTCACCTGCAGCAGTTCAGCTCTTGGTACTACCAACAGCATGTCTATGCCTCCATCCTCACCGTGGGACACTTCCTCGAGTGTCACCAGATCGTCAAGCGGCTTTGGTGCACAGAAGGTGAATTTGGAGCTGCGGGAGCACACGTCCCCTTTAGCATCAATGTATACAAACTCATACTCTTGGGAGCTGGGTTTGGGCAGGTACGAGGCTAAAAGCAAAATAAAAGTTTGGTTGAAACAATTAAAAATAGAATATACAGAGAGTCAGGTTTGCAGCTAGGCCTTTACCACCTAAGACACTACAATGTGGAAATGGTGCCGATTATGGTCTGGTATTTGAAACTATTTAAAACATTCTGCAGGAATTATGCCTTAAAAGCTGCAATCTGGCAAAAAGCAATCCATAAACAATAACAAATATAGCACAGCTCATTGTGTTACTTTTGAAGCCATAGGAGCTTCAGACTGCTGCTTTTGTTACTCCCTGTAGTGGCTAGCTGGGCTACATTGTTAATGCTAGCTTGTGTGTACACAAGAGCAATAAATGGGGATTTAATTTATTTTATCACTCGCATTCCTTCTACCAGTTTTGCAATGTTTTCAAAATGTCTGCTCAAGAAAAAAATGTTACTTGCTGATAGTTGTGTAATGTTACTGTTGAGTTAGGTTGCTGTATTTTATATCTACAATAAAGGGGGCTGCAGCCCCAACAACACCCCTCTTTCTGTGTGGGTTTGTCACTGTCTTACAGAAATACTCAAGAGCTTTCATAAAAAGCTTAGAACAACAAAGTCTTCCTATTTACAGATGAAAAGAGTTATTTCCTAAGTATTTGTAAAGCATGTTTTTTTAGGATGCACGGTTACATCTACCTCTAAAACAAAAATGTTCCAATAAAATCACAAATGAATCACAAACTGGCACCACTTGGTATATTGCAGCCTTTAAAAAAGGATTGTTATAGAAGTAATAAATAGATGAGGAATGTTGTAAAATACGTTCTAAAAGATTCCAGCCACTAGTGGCAGTAAATCTGCTCAGGCTAAGAAAAAATGTGATCTTAAATATAATTCAGATTTACATAGTTTTAAATAAAAATAGTGCCAGTCGTTGAAGCATGACTGGTTGCACCAACCTGGGACTCCTCCCATGTTGATGTTTACAAAACCAGGTGGAACACACTAAACTGATGAAAAGCACGTTGACTTCTCCAAACAGCTCCATAAACGGGGTCAGCGGGAGGCTCACCAGCAGTTAAAACACCTCAAAACATTTTAAAATCTAATGAGAAACTACACCAGACGCTAAAAGTGAAAACACTCTTCCTGACAGATTTAAGATGCTTTGGTACACAAACACACGTGCAAAACATTAGATTTAAAGGCTGTAAATCGCCCTGAAATAAACTTTGCAATGACTTAATTGCAAGAAAAAAAATTATAAACTGGGTTATTTTATGGCAGGTTATAAATTTCACGGAAATCACTTGTCATCACAAGAAAGCACAGGAATAAAATGACTATAAAACAGATTAAAACCCATTAAACTAAATACAAAAACAACTTCCCTTTTATTTTCTGCTTAAACTTTGGTTAAATCTTTAAATTCTTGACTCTGTAATTTAAAATGATGTTACGCCTCACCCATTCTATTCAGACCACAGGACTATCTGTACTAATAAACAAGATAACTGCTATTATGTCCTGCTGCACTGGTGGTACCTTTGTATTTAGAGAAGGAAATTAGGATTTTCTGTTTTATTTGCTTTCCACACATGCACGAAAGATGGAAACAAAATCTCAGATTCAACCATTCTTTATGAGCTGTGTGCATCAGCCTCAGTCACCGTGGAGACAGATGTTCCTCTCAATCACTGCTAAGGATAAGCTACATGTGCTTGTGTTTGACTTTGTTTTCTGACTGCACGCTGAAGTTATTCACTGTGCCTCAGGTCAATGGCACACCTGCTTCACACGTGTCCCCCTGCACCCCCCCCCTCTAAGACTCAGGCTCAGCTACCTCTCATACTGAGGACAAAGTGAACAGTGTGTTCCTGTGTGAGCCACTGCCTTTGTCATCCTCATTACTGTAGACATGAATTCATACGTGACAAAGACTTTCTGTGTTAAGAGACCAAACCAAGCAGGGTATTTGTCTTCTGCACGTGATGTTTTTTCTTCTTTTTATCTATAGAAGCTTTTAAAACAAAAATAAGTTCTTCCCATTCTCAGAAAATGAGAAACTAATTGTGTTTAACATCAGTTTTGACAGATTTATGTGCTGAGCTGGTCTCTTACTAGCCTAGAAATCTTGACCAACAATGGCTATAAAAGATGTTGCTCTGCTAGTTGGTCCATTGTAGCCTAAGCAGGTTATCTTTTGGCCTGATCAGTTTTGTGTCTTGCCAATCACAGCGCTCCATGTTTATGTTTATTTATTTGGCAGACGCTTTTATCCAAAGCGACTTACAATTTATAACCTATAGGGCATGTTGTGATCTGTGGGGGAAACCGGAGTACCCGGAGGAAACCCACGCATGCATGGGGAGAACACGCAACTCCACGCAGAAAGGCCGCAGCCGAGTTTCGAACCTGCAACCTTCGTGCTGCGAGGCAACAGTGCTAACAACTGCGCCACCATGCAGCACATGTTTAATGGGCGGGCTTAACGCAGCTTAATTGGCTCTAGCGCTGTCGAATTTGAAAGACAACCACGGATCTCCCCCCCCCCCCCCCCTCCAACGACTGGGTTGTTTCAAAGGCTCATATTTACACAAGGATAGCCAGCTAATGTCCAGCAAAAAATATTTGCAATAACAGCAAATGTTATGAGCAGTGTTAGGAAGTGACTTTTAGCAGCAACTATTAATTAATTACTCTTATAAGGTAACTTAGCTGTTTTTGGTGCATATTTAAAGGTTTTCACCACACATTTGTCCGGTGTGTCACTGAATGCTGATGCAACTGTCCATTTACAAAATAAATGAGAATAAGGAAAGAAATATTGCTTGAGGACATTTATGCATAGAATCCTGTTAACAGCTCTGGAAGGATTTTCCCTCTTTCAAGTGGGGGCGACTAAAATAACTTTACAAAAATTATTTTCTGATTAACCGGGTGAACCATTGGGTAGGGATAATGGAGCCAGTCATTCACTGGGTTGGGTCTTACCTCACTGATGGGTGCTTTTGTTTGAAGCTGGGTGATGTTGCATCTGAAAAGTGGGTTTGAATTATGGAGTGCCACAAGGATCCATTCTTGGACCACTTCTGTTTTCCATTTATCTGCTGCCCCTGGGCTCAATATTTTGAAGACACAAGATTAGCTTTCATTTTTATGCGGACAACTGCCAGGTGTATGCTCCCATGAGACATGGGGAAACAAGCTCACTTCCGTGATTTATAGAATGTATCTCAGAGGTAAAGATTGACTGACACTCGAATTTCTGAGTCTTAATGAAGGAAAAACTGAGGTTATCCTCTTCCATCTAAATGGTTCCTCTGATTGCCTCATCGGCATAGGAAGCTATTACGAATCTTGGGGTTAAAGTGGATGATGGTCTCACCTTCGAAAAGAAAGTTAAAGGGATGCTTTGTTCATCTGTGCCACATCTCTAGGATTAGACCTGTCTTTTCAAAAGCTAACTTAGAGAAGGTCATTCATGTGTTTGTGATCATGCGGTTGGATTATTGTAATTCCCTGCTTGTAGAAGCAAACCAAGCATCTATTGCTGCAGTTGGTCCACAACGCTGCAACAAGATTGCCGACAGAGGCTAATAAGAGAGAACATATCACTCCTGTTCTGGCTATGCTGCATTGATATGTATATATATATATATATATATATATATATATATATATATATATATATATATATATATATATAGATATAGATATATATTTATGTAAATAAAACTGCTGATGATGTCTGTCTCTGATCTTCCTGCATCTCCCAGTCCACCAGAAAAACTCCTGCCTGCTTCCTTCTTTTTCACCTCACAAGTAACTTTTTAACTAGCAGATCAAATTGATCTATTGACCGCAAAAAAAGCGGAGTGTGCTCTGCGCTGCCCGGCTGCGCCAGTGACGAGCACTGCAGTGGGGGCAGCGCAAGCGTGTCCACACGTCATGCTCAAATACAGACAGAACTTACCAGAGAGAAAATGAACGGACATGAATGACTGTGTTAATTATATATTTTTTGGTAACGCCACTTAGAAATATAGAAAATGTTACTGTGGCCGTGGGCAGAACGCAGCTGGAGTTCATGCAGTGGTGGGCAGTCAGGGCCAGCAAAGCCTTCTCTGCTGGCCTAAACATACTCAAAAGCGTAAATGTATTTTTTTTCCTTTGGTAATTATTTTTAAATAAAAAAAAATGTTTACTGGTCTATTTTCTTTATATCCTATTATACCCACTTGGCTGCGCTGCTTCCAGTGTTAAAATACCAAGGCTGGGTGTTATCCAATCAGATTTAAGCTAGCTTGTGTTTTCAGGCAGATTAAGTCTGCCCTAGGCCTTCAGAATCAATCGAGAAGCCCACTGTCCGCTGTAAGTGAACAGAGACGATCTAGTTGCGATAGCCAATCAGCTCACGAGTCAGCTTAGCCCGGGCTAGCTAGCTGGCCTCACGCAAAAGTTGTCATGAACGCATCCTGTGATTGGATAAGCAGTAGTTAGAACTTTTCTAGCGGCATGAAGCAAAATATCAAAACTAAACACAGAGATGTGTATCTATAGGCAGCTATCGGTGTGTTTTTGAACACATGATGGCTGAAAGAGGAGAAGGGACCGACTTGGTGGCAGATTTACTTGCCACACCATTTTCAAGACGGACCTTTCAAGAAAAAATGGATCTTGTGAGAACAGGTCGTCCGACTCCAACGCTAGCTGGCTTGTCCCAGCAGGGGAAAGGATTTGTTCGTCATTTTCAGGCAAGCAACTATGAACGGTACCCATGGCTAACAGCTTCAGAGAACTGCTGCAGGTTATTCTGCTGGGAAAGCCTGATGCTCGCATCAGATGGATTTGGTAGCATTAAAGCGCGTTAAAATGTACGCCAGAAACACGACCGGACAGACACGGCTTTCAGCATTAGCCTCCATGTCCGTAGAAAAGGATCCACTCATGGACCTGAAGTGCACAGATAAACTGTACAGAGCCACTGAGGTTTTCCTGAGGAAAGAAAGGATGGATTTTATTTTCAAATGAGCAGGAGAGGAGGAGATCCATGCTGGACATTTATGTTGGTGAGTAGAAACATTTTATTAGTATTTTTTTAATGTTTTGTCATTTTATTTTGTTAATAATCAATAAATGGTAACGAAATAAAATGGCAAAATGAAATTATTCTGTGTTCTGTTTCTATGCAATTTATATTGTGTATAACGTGGTGTGTGCAGCTGCGCCAACATGTTCACGGTACAATTTTCTCCAAAACAAATGCAAATAATGTGTTTGCTTTACTTATTTATTTTATTGTCTCATCTCTTAAACCCGTCTTTCATTTCTGAGATTTGACGGTATCCGTGGTCAGCTTCCTACTCTCAACTGGGAATGCGAGTTTGATTTTAAAGACTCTGGAAATTATGTGTCTTGACCAGCCACTGGTGTGTGTGTGTGTGTGTGTGTGTGTGCGCGCGTGTGTGTGTGTGTGTGTGTGTGTGTGTGTGTGTGTGTGTGTGTGTGTGTGTGAGAGAGGTTTCTCCAGCTGTGATGTCCTATTGATGGTATTTTAAGGTGTATTAAATTAGATTGGACTGAATAGGAAATCACTGAAGGCCCAGGGGTGGAACGCACCGCCCGCCACTGAGTTCATGAATAATCAGCAGTCTTCCTGCTGCTCTCTGCATCTCTGCTCAAAAGAATCCCCGCTAGCTGAGTCCATATAAATAATATAATATAGGTAGAACCTGGAACTTTTTTGGTCTCCTTCTGGGTGTGTAAGTTAAGGGCATCAGGGGAGCCTGACAACCTTTAAGGAGAACCAAGTTGCTCTCCTGTAATTTGAACCCAGTATCCGAGTCCGTATCGGGGCTTGGATCGGGAAGTAAAGCCCGAGTCCCGATCGAGTCTGAAACCACGTGATCGGGGCCGATTTCCGATCATGTGATCGGATCGGGACATCCCTAAGCACAATACTGGTCATTACCTTGAAACTGCACACAGCAGTTATTATCTGTGCCCTCCTGGTAATCCGCCGGGGTCAGAGCCCAAACAAATGTCTCGTAGTCCTTTACTGACGTCCATCCCACCTGACAAACATAACATTCTTACCATGAATTTTAAATAAACCTTTTATTTATCAGATTTTTGTAATGGCTGTGAAGGATAACATTACCTTGAAGAGCCCAATCCAGTCACTGCTGGTCCAGCTGTGCTGTGAGCTTAAGGTGTAGTGGCAATCTACTCTACTCTCCGGGAAGTAAATGCAGCCCACATTTCTAAACTCCACCCGCCAAGTCTTATCCATGGCAACACACACACACACACAAAGCCAGGCAAGGCTGTTCCTAAAGGAAGAAAAAGAAAAATATGATCATTTATCTCAAGTTCAAGGTTGATACTGTCATGTTTGGTTTGCTGAGCTGAATGTGAACGAGGTAAAAGGTGACAGCTGGTGAGCAACACTGAGCAAGCAGGAGTCGGTGAAGACACTAGAGCTAAACCTCTCTGACAGGAAGGGCTTTGAGCAACATGGCACATTATACGTTTGTGGCAGTGGTTATGTTGGTCATGGTAAAACTCACCGCGCTTCTTCATGAGCAGTACAAAATTTCTAGGCTCTCCCGACATGTTAGAAGACTCAGATTACACAGACATGGTATGAATCCTGCAACTGCCTAACACAAAGCATTATTACTTTAGCGTTATGTCAAATTTGACCTCCAGCATAGATCAGATGTCTAGAAAATAAAATGCTTCCCAATAAAATACAAGTCAACAATAACAAGGTGCAGGTTTTATAAAGTTTTAGTTTATTATTTGTGATTTCACTTCATTAGCGAGATTATTTACTGAGAGGGCCACTCTAAACTTGCATGTGAAGGGTAAATTGTATTTACATATCTTAAAGAGCAAGTCGCCCCCAAATCAACTTTTTTTTGCTGATAAACTACATAAATGTGTGTCTAATCGTGCTGCAGACACGTGTCGTCAATAATTTGGTACTTCAGTGCCTCTTAGTTAAAATTTAAATATTCTGCCTAAAACTGGCAGTGTTGTGCCGTTGTCAGGTAAAAAGTCTGCACTGTATTTTAATTAAAATCTGCCACCGCTATTGGCTAAGAGGTATGCTATGATGTAAACTGGTCCTTATGATGTCACAATGTCGTTGTGAGCATGTGTGTGTGTGTGTGTATTGGTTTGCGGCTCCGCCCTCTCGGTCTGCAAGGCAACAGCATTCGTGGCATTTTTCAAACATGAAGAGGGAGTTGAGTAAGAATCTGGCAGGGGTTGACTTGCTCTTTAAAGATAATTACAGATCAGGCAGGAAAATTTACAGCAGCTTTTTGAGGAATCCTATTACACCGCAATGCTTGAGGGCTATCGCAGGCAGGTTTAACATATAATAGTTAGGCAGCAAAATATCTTTCATCATATCTATAATTAAATATTTAAAATACCCCAAATGTAGAGGCTGATCCCAAAATTAGCTTTTTAAGTGAGTTGATATTATGGGAAAATCTAATCCGATTATCCTGAAAAACTGACAGCTAGAAGGCCTAAGATTTTTTCTTTTCTTTTTGATGAAAGCAACATTTTGAGAAATTTATGATTTCTTAATTTCTATTTCTGACCATGTCTGCGTGCTTGCCATAATTGTTACTCAGAATAATTCCAAGTATGCTTTCATGAAAAACAAGAAAACTTCTAAATGAGTGTATTTAGCAGAGCAGTCAAGCTAAGACTGCTCTTTTTTGTTTTATTTTGAAATGTTACATCAGTGCTGGTAAATGGGGTATTTTAAATAAATAATTTGGCCTTGATCACTACCCAGATAGCAAGCTTACATTGAAACCATATTGATTTTCCATCTGAATCATCAGAAGTGTTGATATTGAAATCTTGATTCAAACTAGATGTTGAATGAATGTTGCAAAACCGATGAATCCTGCATGAAACAGCATGATATTGTAATCATTTCTCTCAATTGAAATATAAGGGAAAATGCATTGATCTGTAGTTGTGTTGAAATTTCAATGTTTTAATATTTAGGTTATTTGAAATACAATTTTAAAGGCGTTGATCTATATTTAATAAATAAATAATGTTTCAATATTAAATTTAGGTGCAAAATTATGCTGACTATACGTTTTAACATTGACAATGCAATGTGGATTCTACATTGTTTCGATATACGCTTGCTATCTGGGTATAGACTGGTATTGGGCAAACCTAAACAAAAACATTTTGGGTGATCTGTTATTTCTGTGCATTAAACCTCTCAGGTCAACAAGTATTTTTTTCATAATGATTGGTTTATAGATGCATAGCGGGGACTTTATCTTGCCAGTAAATGTTAAAATATGTAAAAATACTCTGTTATTTAACTTTATTTTAGATTTCTTAAACTTTGTTTTACTTGGAAATAATATCTGGTAACGTAATAGGGTGAAATAGTATTTTAAAGTCTTAATATTGTGACTAGCATGGTTTGTAATCTGATTTTTGCATTGTTGACATTTTGATTTGATTTTATGTCACTACGGCCTGCCATACAAGGCCCAGCAGAAGCACATGTCGAATAAACACGGCCACGCGCGGCGATGCATGTTCAATAAGACAAACATGTAATGTCAGTCACTGCAGGCAGACATTTAATTATTTATCACTGTCAGACCAGTTAAGGTGTTGCGGGCACGAATAATCAAACGGAACAACAATGCGGGCTTTGTCAACCACCTAAAATTATCTGCGCACATTTAGGTCGAGTCCTCTGCGAAGTGTCTCTTACCTTTAAACCCCTCTCCTTAAATACCAGGCTGCGTTTGAGATAATACAGCTGCAGTCCAAAAGAAAAAGGGAAATGAACGTGTCTGAGTCCGCAGCGATATCTTTTTCTGTCTGCTGCTCCAGTAACCTGAAACAATAACAAAAAACCCAAAGCAAAACACAAGCTTGACACCTTTCACCCCACAGAACTCTGGGAGTTGTGGTTCATTACGGAGCCAGAGCGGAGACGTCAGGTTACCATGAAAACTACAATCCCCAGAAGGAAGGCAGAGAACACGAGAACCGCTTCACGTAACTTGATGCTGCGCTTGTTTTTGGCTTCGGACCCCCTAAATGTCCTCCAATGAGAAGCTAAGGAAGGGAAATGAAAAGGTAACAACTCCTGTGATAGAAACAGTTTTCTTTCGTATGTTTTTATCTGGGTCAGGACCACTCATGTGTTCCGATACAGGTTTACAATGGTTTGAATAGTGTGTTTGTGTTAATTTAAATCAAACTATGGGTGTACTTCTTTCGTAGGACAAGTTGGTCCGTTTACGATTTTTAATTAAGTTAAATGAAATGACGTTAAGCTTTTTGTAAAAAAAATTGTAAAATAAATAAATAATTGGCCAATAGGAATAAATGTTGCCGTCAGATCGTCGGCTAGCAGTGCCTACACCACGCTCAGGACAGTCCAGACTCTTCTCATGCATCGTTCCACAAATGTGGAATGACCTACCAAGCGCTACCAGAACAGGGGCTTCCTTTTCAATTTTCAAGAAACTCCTGAAGACCCTGCTCTTCAGAGAGCATCTTCTTAACTAGCACCTTACCTGCACCCGTCCCCCCTCTCTACTGTCCACTCCTTGTTCTCTCCTCTCCATGATTGATGTCAAGTTGTTGTTGTTGTTGTTGCTGTTAGCCTCAAGGGCAATATGCCGATTATCACTTGTAAGTCGCTTTGGACAAAAGCGTCTGCTAAATACATAAACATAAATTTTGGATCATTGACCCCCCCCCCCCCCCCCCCCCCAACCCCCCCCCCACACACACACACACACAGTGATTTTAATCCATGTTTCCAGGAAAAAATGTGGGTTTTATTTAGACAAATTCTCCAAATTATCCAGTAATCTCACTTTTTGGATGTCAGTCCTCTCACCTCCCCTGTTTTTGCAACGTGGAGGGTGAAAAAAAAGAGAAAAAACCAAGATGATGTTTTGATGCTGAACAGCAGATGGCAGTATACCATTTTTAAAAATTCTGTCCCTTGATTTCAGCTTTTCCCATTTAGATCGTTTTCTCTACATCTTTAGGGCTCATTAGATGACCCAACTGCCTATTAAACTGAATTTAGCTCACCCTTTAAAATATGCACTAATCCTATGTTGTACATCAGAATCTACAGAAAATGCAGACGACAAAAGCATAGAATTATCTTAACTCCACCTTTAACCAAGATAATTAAAACATTTACAATAAACCACATAATTACTTTTGTTTTGTATTTGAGTTAAAAGTTGGCTCCCTGCAGCCACTGAAATAAAAACCTAACAGAAGATTAAATTAAAGGTTCTCTTTCAGATTTAAGGCGATCGTTGCTTGAACAACACTAAATCTTTATTATTGTTGGTGTAATATTGCCCATAGACTGCTTGTTTGTCTCTGCTTGTGCATGAGTCAGCGCATCCACATAGTACTTTACCCCTCCCTCAATTAGTAAGCCAGTTTGTCTAATTTAGTTTTTTGACAACACTGTAAGGATGCTCCATGCAATTTTACGCCAAAGGACAGTCAATGTTGAGACCCTATAAATTGCGTTTAAGTGGATTAATAGTGCGCTGAGTCTGTGAGCGCAACGTGGTGAGGGAAGTAGGGTTTCTCTTTCATTCCAGTGATTAAAAATATTGTACAGGGATGAATATCCCATGATTCACCATTGTTTATAAATGTATTATAGAACAACATATCTCATTTAAATGTATTACATAGCTTTATTTTAAACTTATGCTTTGTTTCCCCTTTTTCCTCCTGATTTCAATTGCGTGAAAAGTCAGTTAGCCATAAAAAAGTTATTATGGTATACTCCCAGCATTGGTAGCTTTTGTTCCTCCTTTGTCAGTCGTTTGTTGGTTTGGGCTGATTTTACTTTCAACAATCAGCTGAAAAATTTGCAGTAAGCTACGACGGAGCGCAACCATAATGGAGAATAGACTGTGATGAGGTGGATTGTCCGTGAAGCTGTTTGATCTTGACCTGACTGGCTGCCGTTATGGCTCCTCTGATTGTTATAACGTCCAACCTCTACCCTGAGACTCCACTCAAACATTCACCTTCACAAGTAATGGGCTTCATCTTTGAGATGAGTCAAACTAATATATGCACACGGACACGTTCTGGCAGGAAAGCTTTGGCACACTGTTTGTTTATCGGCTGTAGAGCAACGCCACACAAATGTAATCCCTGTCATCGGATGACTTTTAGTCGTCTGGCTTGGAATTCCTCTAAACATAAGAAAATGGTATAGCCCCTTAGTGCTACTGCAGTTTTATTACCTGAGGTGGTTTGTCTGAATAAAGCGTACCACATGTCTCATTCAAAGGGAATGGCAGGTATGTGTCACTGGTCATAAATCGCAGCTTGCCTTCAGCAGTAATCAGTTGCCAAGGAAACCTCAAATAGGATTATGACCTTCTGTTGTGTATAGGCAAGTAAACTGTTGTCAGCATCCAGGAGAGGAGCATAAAAGATTTATGTGGGTAAACAATTTATTTTCTCATCACACTAAATTGATGCATCAGGAAAAACTCTGAAAACAAGTTAGTGATCTTGATTTCATAAAGCTGTTATTCAAAACAGCATTTGATTTGTAGAAAGACGATAACAGAAACCAGTGAGGTAGTGAGGGTATAATAGTTTAGAAAAAGCATCAGACTGGTGGAAAACAAAGAGAAGCAGGAGAGGAGAATGCCTGGAAGGAGGGCAAAATGTTGGGAGGGTGAAGGCAGAGGAAAGCAAGGGGGGTGGGGGGACGCGCAATGGTATTTAGTATGCACGGCCAAGCTGCCCCATCTGCTTAGCGCAGCAGTCCCTGTCGTATAACTGTCTACAGGCCGTGGGCCACATAAAGAATGTCTCAGATTTGATGTAATTCTCCAAAATTAATGACAGCTTTACTCGGTATGGGCCGTGAGGGAATGATTAGTGTTTGATCGTCCATCTGATCAGTTCCCTCGGCTGGCTGTAGAGAGATGCTCCACTATACGCTGGTATGCTGCCTATGGCAGGACCACAAGCACACACACAAACACACACAGATGCACCTTTTTGCTGAATGATTTTTGGGTCCCCACACTCTAGTTTGTGTTTGTTATTTTTTTTCCACAACAAATACAACCAATGTCTTGTTCTAACGTCGCTGCTGTGGCACTTAACATGAAAATGAGCACCCATTGCAGGTCTCTCCAGTGATGTGGCTGCACACAAGCCTCTTTTATAACAGGCAGTGTGGTATTTCAAAGAAAAGTGGGCCAGCCAGCTTTCAATTTAGAGAACCCGGAGGTCACGCTGTGACCTTTTACAAGATATGCTTTACTGCAGCTGTGATTGGAATTGGGTATTAGTTTTTAAAAGAGATGGGGAACGGATTGTGAATTTGCGAGGGAAAAAATTGATCCGCAGGATGAATTGCAGGAGTTGGATGAGTGGAATACCTCTCCTCCTTTTTAATTCAGCCCCACCTCAGCGCCCCACCACCGTCTCTTTTCCCTGGGCTGCTGCGTTTACAAGCAAAGGGGGCATTCTGTTTTACAAGTAAGCTCGGTGGGTCTCGGCGTGCTAGCAACATTAAAATTGAACTCGTCTTATCTGTGCAGAATGTAAGGCTTTACATCAGAGGCTGTCGAGCGGCCGCCGCCATGAGGCTCCTGTGTGCTTTTATGTAATGTGATGCAGTGAAAAACCCAGTGGACATTTAAAATGAGCTGATAGATAAAGACATGATTGAGGAGCAGGATGTTAGTTGGTCGAAAGCTCTGTGGAGTTGGAGTTGTGTGAGGCTTGATTTTATTTATTTTTTATTAACAAGGCTTGATCCAACACACGACAGACATTTCTTTTATTGATCTGAAGACAAATGGACTGGTTTTTTTTTTTACCCAATTTTTGTGCTGAGTTGCACATACAACCAAACTAATTTCCCATCTCACCATTAGCTCTCTGGTCAAATCCCAAGCTTATTTCAGCAAACGCTCGGGGAGGGTCTGCCAACACAGATTGCTGGACAGATTGGCGATACTTCTATGTGTGTGGATTTAGTGCTTTTACCCCCGCTGAGACTGCAGTTCTTTGTAACAAATTACTTGCAAAAACACCATTAAAATAAACAAAAACTGGTTCCAGTTCAGCTGCAGCTCCGTTCATTATCCTATCTGTTTTCTGTGTGTTTTTCTGCTTTTGTCCAAATTACTTGAACAAGATTTCCCAACTACATCCTCTGATCTCTGTTCATCTTACCTTGTCTCAGCTCATTACTCCTCCCCCCAATGTTTTCAGTTTCTCCTCCTTATTTTATATTTTTGGCTGAGCTGAGAACCTTTCCTGTTGCAGTGACCTTTCTGGTTTTAAATTAAGCCCCGCTGCGGCGCGCCTCTCTTCATAGACCGCCAGTTACGAGCCTTCAGAGAACCGCAAAAAAAAATAACGATTCTGATGAAATGGTCCCTTTAAAAAGCTCTTCCAAATTCCTTTTACATTTTTTCTTGCCCTCATCTCCTCCTTTCTGGTTGCATTAATATTCACACTAATGAGGAGCCTCCTAGGTTAGACAATAGAGAATGTAGGAGTTGCATGGACTTAAAACACACACACACACACACACACACACACACACACACACACACACACACACACACACACACACACACTGTTGCTCATTGCTAATGGTCTCTAATCAAATGCCATGTATGTTTAAAGTGATTTATGAAAACCGGGCAGTGCTGCTGGCAATGTGATTGCTTAATCAGAAAGTGACCATTTTTTAATGGATAACTTAGTTTGTGACCTTTTAGATGAGATTGCGTTTTAAATTATTTGATTGATAGGCTTCTATTAAAATGTGTTTAGATGATAAAGAGGTTTTACCCCTCTGAGGTCATGGCGCTACAGGTACAATGCTTTTATGTTGTGA